CTTCATTTTATTATATTTGCAATAACAAGGAACCCGAAAACTTGTATTGGTAAGTATTTACGCCCCTATATTAGCAACTTTAGCATCTTTGGTTTACTTACAGGCTTGGGGTTGAGGCCTCAGCATGAGCTTGGGCATATCCAGAAGCTCAGATTGTACGCTACACCCCAAACCCTAAAGGGAACTCCAGAAAGTTGGAATATGGATTAATGGTAGGATCCCCTCTAATTTACCTTAAAGGGGTTACGATAATGATATTCCAACTTTCTGGCTTCTACTGTAAGCCCTAAACCCTAACACTCTTTAATCCTAAACGCTTAAAACCTAAAGCATGAAACCCTTGAGCCCTAAACCCTTGAACCCTTAGGCCCTAATAGCCCTAAACCCTGAAACCATGAATTGAGCCCTACAGCACTAAGCCCTAAACCCTAAAAATTGTTGGGCCCTACACCTTGCAGCCCTAAATCTTAAACCCTCTGCTTGGAATTAGAGTTTGCAGTTTGGGATCCGAAATAAAGGGAGCCTGAGTAGTCTCCCTGCACTTGAGGGTGCTCTGCAAGGCTCCGTGCACCGAAGAAGGAGGAGATAGTTAGGGTTTAGGGTTGAGGGTTTAGGGTTTAGGATTTACTTTGGATTTAGGTTTTCTTGGCCTTCTAGGAGGAAGTTTTGCTAGTGTCTAAGGCTAGACTCTAAGGCACAAGTATATACTAGCGACTGTGATGTTTCGAGCATGAAGGCTGTTGCAACATGGAACCCCGCGACGGCATGCCGCAATCTTTATGCCAGACTCGCCAGTACACTGTACTGCGATAGTAACCCTTTCTATTGCCACCAGTTGCAACGTCAAACAGACGGTTTGGGCTCTGACAGGTTAACCTACACTTCAAGGGCACTCGTGAACACCAGCATTCCATCTGGACCAGGTACTACTTCAGCTGACTGCTGAAGATTGGCAATAAGCTGAGCCGGGATCCGCAGAATACCAACTCCTACAAAGCCCCATAAACGTTAAGCGCTATAATACGAATTACTAAACGTATAAACCAGAAGCCTTAAGACCCACTTAAACCCGAAACACTCATAGAAGCAGGCTGCCTGAAGCGATCAGGCGGTGTTTGTCGGCTCGTCTGCGTCTTGGTGCGGGTGCAGGGACCTCCAAAATTTGACCCCCCCCCCCGAGTATTGATTGTATGCGCACACTATCACATCCTGTAACACCAATAGAATATCATATCCTAAAATCCATAGAAAACCCTTTAATAATGGGCGGACAACCTTACAATTGTGGAAGCCCCTGTTGTAGGAAGTCCTTTGCTTCCGCTGTCCGACGCTCTCTTCCTGAACTACCGGGCCCAAGCCAAAACAGTTCACTTTCTAAGATAGACCGAATATGTAAGCCAAAAAGGTTTAAAGTTTAAAGTTGTCCCACTGGCTATCTGAGGACAGTAGGGTTCCTTTGAATGACCAACTCTACAGTAGCTTCTGGGCTTTCTGGCCATCCACAAACTGACCTTGTCTGGAGATGCAATGACAAATATGCACATAGCTCCAGGAGAACACCACCAGGGACCTAGACCCCTTAGCCATAAACGATGAGAAGGCTCACCCGACATGTCGTCGAGGTTTTTCATCCTGGGCTCACTCATCGGCAAGGACCCTCCCGGCTTGACTTTCGAGTTTCCAAAGGCAGGGCCAATCAAGTTCAAAGGGCTCTGTACTGTAAGGGCTCTGTAAGGGCTTAACGAACATAGGGATACTAGATTACTTGGGGTTTGATGTATGATTGCCTGTACGTAGTCTCCATTACGTTCTTCTTAGGTTAACTATATCATAGGATCCTAGCTGTAAAACTGTTTGTCCAAAAACAGGAGCTGCAACGGATGCTAGGTACAAGTACTCAGCAACTTCAGATGGTGAGTGAGCACCTACGTAGCCGCTATCTTTAATCCCGGCATCTTGGGATTGACACCTGCATGACGACTCGAAACCTTCTGGCCCTAAACCCCTTACTAAACCCTATAAACCCTAAACCCTAAACCCTAAACCCTAAACCCTAAACCCTAAACCGTCACCCTAAACCCTAAACCTCAAACCCTAAACTCTAAACCGCCCGAAACCTTCGGCTCGCACTTGCAAGGCCTCTGCTCGTCTGCATCATCGAGGATGGCCATGACGATTGCATGGTCATTGACGCATGATTGCCAAGATCCAGAGAGCCCAATACCTTTAAAGGGAATATACCTTAAACTATGACGGGCATCATCTTATGATTTAAGCTATCTTCCTGAATGATGGGGTATTGGGCTATCTCAAAAATGGCTACAAGAACCCAGGCTTTCAAAGTTACAGGGCTTATGCGATTGAGGCCCTTGCTTGTGTTCCTAGAGTGCCATGCAAGTAGAAGACTTCTCAGGGAGCTCATGAAAACACGTCCTCACGAAAGCAATGGACATATGATGACATCATGCTGCCAGTTTGCAAACAAACATTTTATAATAGGGGAAGGAGGCTAATTCACCTTTCAGGCTGCTGCTTCACTTTACATACTTTATCTGCCTGCTTCAAATGCTTTGGGTGCTCTGAGGCATGTCCGGCCCCTAGACAACCAACAAACACATAAACTCATGGAGCCAACAGGGCACACTCCACAGTCACGGCTTTCAGGGTGAGGCTTTCACTCTGGAGCAAGGGTGGAAAGGAAAGAATGCCCTAGCGCCGAAAGCATAGTGGCCCTTACAGATCCACTGGCAGCCGCACAGACACCCCATTATATCAAACTCCCATGGAAGCCATGTCCACTCAGACGCAGGGAAGCTCATTCCGTGAAACACACTGTTGACAGTATTTCAACCCCAACCCGGATTAAACCCCTAAGCCGAAACTGTTGACGTTAATCCCTAGTTCGTCAAGCCCTTTCCTAGCCATACCCGCTCCATCCTACAGCCTACAGCCCACACCCTAAATGTAACCCGGTTTCCTCTGTTCTCGCCCAGGAACATACTTGGAGTTGTTCTTAGTAACTAGTGCAATTAACACTCCCAAAAGAACTGAGCTAGTGCACCTTATGTAAGTCCTGATCATAGTCTTCGCAAAAAATCTGGATGCACAGGCGTTGGGGCAAGCTATGGATGATCGGCACGGGCAAGTTTGCGAAGAACAACAGCCAGGCAGACATCTTGAGGGTGATCGTGACGATGTTGTAGATTTGGAGGAACCTGCTCCGATGTGGCCGCCAAGGGTATGGTGCAAGGATGTAAACCAGCATATCTGAGCTGTGGTTGGGACACGCATGTATAGTACCCTAGAGACCGGATGCAAAACAGCTCGACTTGATCATCAGAACGGGGTAAGGACAACTACAAGGGTGCAGGATGCATGATAAATCTGGGGCAAGAACATAGCGATTTTCGGTTTAGGATCAGGATATGCCCGGGCACAACGTAGAAGAGCACGACTTAGGGGCCTGGCATAGGATGCACACGTCAAGACTTCGGGGATAAAGCTGAAAGGTCAAGGGTTTATTGTTCTTTTTCCTTACCGTAAGGAATGGAGGAATGGGGTACAATTTTAATTACTATTACTACCAATCTTCCATTCCCTACTAAGCAATGGTAAGTTTCTTTTAGTGCTGTGGTCCCTCTTTCGTCGCAGACGGGCAGACGGTTTAGGGTTTCGGGGTTTAGCGCCCCTACGATTCAAGTCTTCAGCGCAGACCCTGACGGCCCTGACGCTTTGAGACACACTACAGTAGAAGCCAGAAAGTTGGAATATCATTATCGTAACCCCTTTAAGGTAAATTATAGGGGATCCTACCATGAAACCATATTCCAACTTTCTGGAGTTCCCTGTAGACTTCAAGCAAATGGATGCAAGCAATCTACACCCCATGATCCCACGAAGAACGTAACAGTTCCATATACTCGGAATGAGAAAAGCAAGGCACCTCCACAGCTTGGGTGGTGCGTGGGGGAAAAAGATGCGCGAGATGACCTTCGAAGCTTGCTCGCGCAAACATGCCTTGAGGACTGGTTTTGCGGAAACCATAGAATGAAAACTACAAAAGTTCTTGCGGGTTCAGGGCGTAGTTTTCAAGAAAGTATTAATTATGGCTTATGGGTAAGTGACAATTCGTCGCTCCTTCTCATCATTCCTGTAATCACCCATCATCACAGGCATGCTCTTTGAATACGACCTAGTCCTCACCCGTACCCCGAAGATGTGTCTGAACACTCCTCAGCTAGGCTACGCAAGCCGATCGAATCCCGGAGCTGAACATATGCTAGTATCTTGAGGATACTCAAAGGGTGGTAAGCTCTTAGGAGATATTGGGAGCCCGAACGTAGATACTAAACTGATACTTGGACCTATGGGATAGAGGCGAGGCGCGCAAACATACACGCGCATGTTACGTTTACCTGCGCCAGAGCAGAGTCATGACTTGTTAGGATATACTATTTAGGGTTCATGGTGTAGGGCTTAGGGTCTAGGGTTTAGGGTATATAAAAAGACATATACAGTACACATGCCCACACGCTTTCGAAACCCCAAACTCTAAACCCAAAGCCCTGACCCCAAATCCTAAACCTTGCACCCCTGCGGCGTCTAAAGTCTATATGCTAAGTGAGGAAGATGAGATAGAACACCCATGGCGCTTCAGCCCGGAGCCCCGGAGTCGAGAAGCTTGAATTCAAATGGGTAGTTGTCAAAATTAATGGTCCCCTTTGGGGTATACTAAATATCAGGTGCCGTATTATATTAAGGACCCAAAAAGGAACCCTAATTTTGACAACCACCCAAATGTAACCGAGGATAAGACAGCAAGGGTCAAGGGACGTTAGTGTTAATGATCGTGGCGGTTTACGGGTTTATGGGGCCATGGTGTAGCATGCAAGGTTTATTGGGATTGGGGTTCGGATTACCTACTACATTGGTACTTCCACCGTTTGGCCCTTGAAGGTCTGGTTTGGCTTGGACCTTCGTTTAAGGCATGGGCGATACGGTTAGTCGATGAAGTTGCCGGCGTCATGGCCGAACGCTTCTTCGGTGGGGGAGACAGCGGTATCGGAGTTCCTGCAATCACTGTCGGCGTCATTGGCGTACTTGGCATCTTTGTTGGCAGCTCTGCAGACAATCGTCTCGCTGGAGCGGTGACATGCGACGTTGTTGATGACAATGGCGCAGGGCAGCTAGCAGCGGCAGCAAGCGTCCTAGCTTTTGCGATGCGTAGCACTTGATCTGAGAAGCGCTCGTTAACCCGACCCTGCGGCAAACCTTTGCAAACTGGTTTTACCGTGGTGGCGTGTCAGCACCTACTTCCGCATGAAACACGACAGCTTAAGGCTACATCTTAGTGTAGTAGACCTTCAATTCTCGAGTGCCGCTGTTCTGTACCATCGCCGGCTTCCATACAAAGCCAGAGAAAGAGCAAACTATGAGGTCTTTCTATGTGTTGACAATGACTTCTACAAAAGTTATCATACGTTCCCGAAAAAAGGTGATGTCATTCTAAGCTTAGCTGCTGAGTTCATAAACCCCCAAACGATTGAACTTCCAATTCTATAGCGGATGATGTAACCTAAAACGTGTTACAGGACCAGGAGTTACCACAAGGTCTCTAGTAAGGTAAGCTGGTCTAAGGGCAACTACGCGAAAACGGCAGGACTCCCTCAACATTTAATCGTGGACGCTGTCGGTCCATTCTAGGACACCTCTGGCAGAACGCAGCTTGGGGTTAAGAGTTCAAGGGTTTAGGGTTACGTGTTCCGGGTTTCAGGTTTAGGACGTGCGATGAGGGCACCGTAAGCTGAACAAAAACCATAATCTGCACCACTACCAAGTATGCAAACAGGCAACATGCTGTCCAAGCGTTTAGGGCAAGGTGCTTGATCTACATAAACATGCACAAGTGTCTTTGTGTGTGTGTATACATGTATTACATGCAAATATTCGTAGAAACACACACACATATATATATATATATGTATAGACACGGGGATTGCAGAGTGCAGGGCAGTAAACTCAGCAGCTTATGTCCCCACGTAATGGCTCTTGGAACTTTCCTGTGCCCAAGACAAGGGCATGCCAACAACCTTTACCCTGACATCTAAGACTCAGTGTAGGCCCCCGCGTAGTAAACCACATTTAAGGACCCGAATTGCACGATCTCTCCTGCAAAGGACGGGGCTAATTCATCAGTAGTTCTAAACCCTAAACCCTGGTAAGGCCCGTGCGATCGTAAACATGGTGCCGAAGGCCAGGACGGACCGATAACTTGCAAACCTCTGCGGCTTAACTCATGGAGCAGCAGGGCCAGGAAAGGGTGGGGGAGCCCAATGGGCTCCTAAACCTGTAGTTTGTTAAAAAAAAAACTCTTTTTCCAGTGGGCGGCAGTCTGCAGCATCTAAAGGTTTAGGGTTTAGGGTCTACAACCCTAAACCCTGGCTCCAGGCACTTGGGCCTCAGGATTGGATTGGTAGGGCCAGTATAGCACCCCTGAGCCAACAGAAACGCGCAGCGACCCTGCCTACAAGTATGACTAACACCCCGACAGCGAACGGCGATCCTCAAGGACATTGAGCCCGACAAGCGACACTTGCAATCTCAACTTCCCAGCCCTCTGCACCTCAGTTGAAATAGACCTCTGAAAAGCCCTAAACCCAAAGTTATACTCCATCCCGGATTCCGAATGCCCCTTTGAACATGATCCCCTCTCCTGCTTGAAGTTTCATATTACTGGGGTTTCAAGAACTGAGGGGTCCTGAGCAAGTATAAGGACCACCCAAATAACACCAATTCAAGAAACCCTCCTGCTACGGTAGATGGGGAGATGCCTTTCGGGTTCACGGAAACCTTGGGTTCCTACACTCTTCAGGCTTGGGGCCTACCTTCAGCCGGAATAACCTACCTTTTTAGGGTTCCCTATTATGATTTCCTTATATAAGCCCAAAAAAAGGTAGGTTCTCCCGGCTTAAGGTAGGGCTTCTTGGGATCATGTCTTGGAGCCGTGTCACTGCTCAAGGTGGTGGATTCCAGGGCATGGGCCAGCGCCCTCATGTTGTAATTGAAGGCATGTATATAGGGGCTCTTTAAAGCCTTTTTCCACACCACCGACCCGAAACATACCAAATCCCAACCCCCAAACTTCCCTAAACCCTGAATCCTTCACCCAAGCCCTAAACCCGGATCATCCGTAAGCCCGACAGCCATGCGGCTGGAGTATGGCAGCCGCAACCAGTAGGCAGAACGTCTGTGACCAGCAGGCCTGCGGAGGATAGGGAGGCCTTTTGCAGAAGAAGACCAGTGTGCTTAGATCTCCAAGTAGACTGTGATTTTGGCGAGCTGGTCCCTGGGAGTTTGGGTGTTCACTTAGAAACCAGCCCTACTGCTCAAGATAGCCCAACAGTGGTCTCTGGACCCAAACGTCACAGCAGAGGAAACCCTTGGTGCCTCAGAGCAGGATTTGAGGGTCGGAGTTTGATGTAGCAGCCCGAATTAGCTGAGCCACGGTGGCGGGGGCCTGCAATGGTTGTTGCTAGTTTGGACGTTGGGATCGCTACAAATCTCGAATGGGCCTCCTTGATACAAACCCTCATGGTATCTAAGAAAATATCCCTAAATCCTACAGACCGTTCAGGTTCTCGATTGGCAGCCTTCCGCTATCGATAGCCACGGATTCGAGATGGAGAGAATAGGACCCCAGCGCACAAAAAGCTCCGCGCTGGGGCTCCGCATCTATAAGGCATGGGATTAAGGCTTGAAGTTGCTCGATACTCATGTTTAAACAAGAAACTTACATCATAACAAAAACTAACCGACCTTTATACTCATAATTAAGAATACCTACATTCAAACATAAAGCCATAGTAATCAAAGCATTAACAATCATACGTTGATGTATGAATCCTGCATGACCCACAACAAGGGATATGCCATAATTCACATTGTCTAGGGTCATGAAGGTAATTCAGGATTTACATTATCAGCCGTAGTTTCATGGGAACTGCCGGGGCCCTCATCACGAAACTAGGATGCCGGCTCCTGGTTATTAGGGTTTGGGGTTTAGAGTTTCCCAGCAGCTAGGGTGTTGGGTTCATGGCAGAGACACAGAGGCACCTACTCCCGGAACCCTGAGCAGCTCGTAAGGCATGAATAGCTGGGACCACTTCTACCACAACACTACCATATCATTGCTCATGTTTGTGGCAAAGCGCATTCGGTTCGGGAAATGACGGTTTAAAGGAATCAAGTGCGCTCGGGGAAGCTTCGATTTCGCAGCTACGTCGGCGCTCAATGTTGGCGGCAATTTGCTGTTTGGCTGTTGGCACGTGCAGAGAGTCTTCTGCGAGGCGCAGTGACATCAGCAAAGTGTGGCTAGTGTGAGACCTCTTGGGCCTGAGCTCAGCAGTTTCAGCATGTAGAGCGTGTGGCGCTGAGAGCGGAGCAGTGTGGAGGCCACGATTTCGGATATCCCAGGGTGCTGAACCATTGGTCTTCGAGCTTCTTCAACCTTCCCGAGAGTTTCCCAACACTGAAGCCCCTAAGAATTATGGCCGCTGTAGCACTAAATCACTAAACCCTCTTTCAACCCTTGCAGGATTTCCTCTTTTCGGGCGATGCATGAGAGGCACGAGCGGTTTGGGCACAGTTGATGTTGGTTGCGGGTCGGCAACTCCAGCCTCTGTGTGGATTAGCAAGAATCCCCCCAAAAATGGTGACCCAGTCCTGGCGCCACCGATCAACTGAAGTGGCCTTCCCCAGCAGCACCCACCAAGTATTCTCCTTGCGGTGGGCCTTGCAGACGCCCGGCAACAACAGACAACAACGACAACAGCAAAAGCAACGACGCTGAAGACAACAGCAGCAGCAGCAACGATGCTGACGACAACAACAGCAACGTCAACGGCAACAGCAACCAGCAAGAAGCAAGCCGCTAACAGCAACAACAACCACAAGAACCAGAAGCAGCAACAGGTCTGAAAACGACGACAACAACAGCATGGCCACCAGCAAGAAAATATTGAGAAGAGGAAGAAGACCAGCAACGACAATCACCACAGGCAGCACAAGCGCAACCGCGCTGCAACATCAACAACCGTCTCAACGGTGGCTACAACGACGAGATCAAAAACATGAGAGCCAATAGAATCACCGACAAGAACTGTGATTCAATAGCAAGCTGCTTTCCTCCTCCTCATCCTCGTCATCACTATCGATGCCATCATCACCGGCACCATCATCACCACTCCTCGTTATCATCCTCATGGTCATCATCGCCATAGTCGCTGCAGCATCAGCAAATTCTGCAGAATGTGCAAGCGTTATCGGGCACTTCCAAGCACTTCCTAACCACAACTGTCACCATGACCTTGGTGTTGTTCATGGTCTTGATCACCATAGCCATCACCATCCTCATGGTCATCACTCAACAGCCTGATCATCCTCACCATCCTTCTCTTCGTCACCAGCGGAATCATGCAGGCTACCACCTGGACCATCATCGCCATCACCGTCATTGCAATCTCGCATCATCAGCTTCGGCGTTGGTCTCCATATATGTAATGCTCATCCTAATCCCCCGTAGCCGGTCGAATGTCATGCACAACACACCCATTGTTGCAACCGGCACGGTCTGCTTCCTCCTTTTTTGACCTCATAAGCGCCAGTCTGCTAATTAAGTCACTCGCTCCAAGCGATCTCGGCATCAAGCCTACATGACGGTAGACGATTCACCTTGTTGTGCTCTCACCGTCAACATCAACACCGATGCCTCAACAACCTGGCAACAGGACTGCGCAGCAAGACACTTTCATGGACAGGTACAGACAGCTGCCGCAATGTGGTTGGCAACCGTCCCTGCCGGTGCCAAGCATACTGGACTTTAGTGAAAGAGACTTTAGTTGTCAGATGTCATCAAGAACACGACGGCTGGCCCAAGAAAGGAACTACTCCTTATCACCAGCAATAGAACAGCAGCAAGACAGAACCGTGGATGTTACGGCTACTGAACAATACTAGTAGCGAATGACCAGCAACATCAATGATAAGCAATGATACCTTGCAGAGCGCGGTGGTCGAAACGGGGCTTGTGGCTTGCGCCTGTAGGGTGTCATCACCCACCCGGTAGAAGAGCAAATCGTCGATGACGGCCTGCTTCCAAGAACTAGAAGCCCGAAAGCAAGCTAGATCTCTCCAAGGCGGTCAGACCTGGAACCCTCACCGCTTAAACCGGAACCCTGACTGTCTTTACCCCAACTAAACCCACAGGACCCTAAACTGAAACCCTAAACATCCCTAAACCTCAAACCTCGACTAAAATTACTAAACTCCGAACTCCCGACCCTCCTACAAGCCATAGAGCGACCAGCGATTTCCACAGACCAGCGATCTTCCCCAAACCCAACTGTCTGAGTCTGTCAGGTCTTAGGGACTTTATGCCATGGGGCTTACATACGGCTTTAGGGTTTAGGATCCACTATATGATTTTTTTTTTGTTTTTTTTTTGGGGGGGGTTGGTGGGTTGAGACCTTCGGGGATTTAGGGTTTGGGGTTGAAGAGGTGTCGGAGCTTCAGTGTTGAGGTCGGGGCTTTATCACATCCCGCTTTAGGGTACAGGTTTGAGGGCTGAGGGTTTCCTGAGGGCTTTGTAATAACCCAATAGGCCCCATAGTAGTTCCTTTTGGAGATTACCTGAAAGAGTTCTAAATATCAACCCCAAAACGGAACTACTATGGGGCCTATGGGTAGGGCCTGCATTCAGTCGGAGGCTCAGTTAGCTGCTCATTGCGGGTTTCCACGAATTCCAGACATGGGCTTGAAGAAAGATGTCCTGAAAACCCCTTGAGATAGCACTCACGCTTGCAAGCCAAAGCCTCGACCTCACACGTGATATGAACCCCAACCAAGACCACCAATGCAACCCATGCTCCAATCAAATGAACAACAAAGGAATGACCCGAACGTTCTTGCCCGGAACCGCAAATAACCGAGGGCCCCAAAGCCTGAACACATTGAACACAAACCTACAGGAGCCATACCACTATGGGCTATTCGACCTTATGGGTACCTTAATCTACCCTTAATAGGGTCCTAATAGGGATCTTTAGGGTCTAATAGCCCATAGTGGTAAGCCCCTTCCGACTCAACGAAAAATGACGTGCCCTTCTGCTTGACTGTCGGGGATGTCAAGTACGCATGAAGCAAGCCCGCCCACTGCCGGGTGGTCATCCGTCGAAGCCCTCGTATGAAAGTAGCGATAAAGAACCGTCGAAACCCTCATATACAAGTAGCGATAAAGAGCCGTCGAAGCGCTCATACAAAAGTAGCGATACAGCAGCTCGTTCTTGCGGGGCTTTTCCCTGCCGCTTGTGCCCAAACTTGCCGCGCTCAACCACGAGATCCTCCAAGGTGACAGCTGCCGCCTTGTCGGACATACCACTCAACAAGTCCAGACCGGGTTCGAGACCTCGTCTCGATGGATGCTCATGGCATACCACGTTTTCTTGCCTTGCATGTTGAACTCTGAGGTGAACCTAGACGCGAAACGTTTCGCTTCGACTCTGTCTGTGGTCTAGCAGGCACCCCTTAGCCGCTCGTGCACAAAGCGCAGCTTTCGGCTTGCATGGCTCAGACCCGCCCCGACCGCGAGTGAGTGAGTGAGTGAGTGCAGGATTTAGAATTTCGACTTCGTGTGTTTAGAGGCTTTCATGAGGCACTTCGGGGCTCTTGGCGTCCAGAAAAAGCCCGACACGCGTACCTAGAGCATCCAAAACCCCTTATTAATTAAGGAATATACCTTAAATTATAGTAGGATCCCTAATAATATGATTTAAGGTATATTCCTTAATTAAGGCCACTGAACTCCACAAACCAAACAGCTGCTTGAAGCCTCGAGCAGAGGCCTTGTTCGCTGCACCAGTTCCTGCACTTCTGCGTGGAAGGATGAAGACGGGGGTCCCTAAACCCTAAACATCCCTAAACCCTAAACCCCTAAACCCCTAAACCCTAAACCCCTGAACCCTAAACCCTAAACAATAAACCCTAAACCCCTAAACCCCTAAACCCTAAACCCCCAAACCCTAAACCCTAACCCCCTAAACCCTAAACGAAGATGGTTTCAGACTGAGGGCCTGGGTCGGTAACTGGTGAGGGTTTGCATGCGGCTTTGAGCTTGGGGTTACAGTAGAAGCCAGAAAGTTGGAATATCATTATCGTAACCCCTTTAAGGTAAATTATAGGGGATCCTACCATTAATCCATATTCCAACTTTCTGGAGTTCCCTTTAAGGGTATCTCAGAAAGATAGTCATGAGCCCTCAAGGCTCGAACAACTGGCAAGCTGAATGTAGCAAGTCTTAGCTAAACTTGTGCCGAAACCAAGAGAAGCAGCAAGAAATACAAAAGTCAAGAACCCTGGCTCGAAAAAACACCAACAAAATCCAAACACAAAGGACTAGAAAGTACTGCTGAACATGATGCTTCGACAGAGATCTTCCTGTGAGTGGATGTCTTCTGGCTGGATCGAGTGCTGAACGGTATAGACTTGCTTGTTGTTGGCCTCGTTTTTTCATGGCATTGGGGGTACTTCGGAAAATCGGGCTTTAGCTTCGGGTTCCGAGCCTAAGCCGTCACGATTAGCGCTGGAAATCTCCGGTCCTGGGCTTGCTCCACAGTATTCACAGCTTGCGACGGCTGCGCCGGCGCAGGCGGATGCTGGCGTTGAAGGATTGGGGTTTAGGGTAGTTACAATGTGGGGTTAAAAGTCCCCAAATATGGGTTATACTTATGGTTGCTTTACTTACATGAGTTGTCGGCTTTGCAAACGTCCAGGGCTTAGAGGAGGAAAATGAGGAGTTTTCTAGGGTCCGTTTCTTGGTCCCAGAAATACTACGGCACCCTGAGAAAATGGACCCTAAACGGGACCCTAGTTTGGAGAAGTACGCGAAGTGTGAAACTTCGTATAAGTCCTATGTTCTCGACTGTCACACAACTGCAGAAAGTGGAGTCGCCTCTGCAAGTGTCCGATAAACTACTATGAACCTCATCATGGAGAACTCACATGTGCCCTACAAGAGCTCACATGAAGCAGGTCAAGGTTCTGCAGCCTGTGCCGCTTCTGCAGTCTGTGATTTTTATAGTTACGCCTTCTAACGATGGTGGAAGGTGGACCAACGCAGCTGTTGCCTGCCAAAACACACGGCAACTTCGACTTGCGAATCGAGAAAGATACGGTTGATGATATAAATCCTGCATTACCTTAAGGACCCTAAACTATGGGAACTATGGTATATTCCTTATTATGGGTAATGCAGGATTGATATCATCAACCGTATGCCCAGGGAGAGTGCCGAAGCTTCGGGAGAAAAGTTGTGGATTGCATCTGGGTGGTGGTCAAAATTAGGGTCTCTTTTTGGGTCCCTACTATACTACGGCACCTAACATGTAGGGTACCCAAAAAGGCACCATAATTTTGACAACCACCCATCTCAAGAGCGATCTCGATCTTTTTGAATCGCCTACATCGAGCCGTTCGCATCAGAAGCCTCAAAAGGCGGGATGAAGATAGGTGGGGTAATCCTTAAATAAGAGGCCTTATATAAGGGGTCCTTAATCCTACCTACCCTCATCCCACCTTTGGAGGCCTGCGATCGCACAAGCCCGAAACCCTAAACACCCAAACCCTAAACCCCCTAAGCCCTAAACCCCTAAACCCGAAACCCTAACCCCTAAACCCCTAAACCCCTAAACCCCGTAAACCCGAAACCCTAAACCCCAAAACCCCCTAAACCCCGTAAACGCGAAACCAGGCCTCCGCGTCAACGGGCCGAGGCACAGCCTCGCTGGGGAGCGTCGCAGCAGCCGCCGCTGGAAGGGTCTCGGGATCCTGTGAGTCAGGGTTTAGGGTTTAGGATTTAGGGCTTAGGGTACATGTTTAGGGTTTAGGGTACATGTTTAGGATTTAGGGTTTAGGGTTTATATAGGGGTTTAGGATTTAGGATTTAGGGTTTAGGGTCCATTTCGCTTGTTGTTGGGACTTGCGGGTTTCGGAACCAAGGTCTCTTGGCTCCAGAATGGCTGTGGGCTGTGGGGCTTTCGCTTCAGAGTTCGGTGTTCCAAGATGCTTCTGGCTCCGAAGCCTTCATCCTAAGCTCCATGCACTAAACCCTAAACCCTAAACCCTTTTTGTACTCTCTCCCTCACTCCCTGTCTCCCTCGCTCCCCGTCTCCATCGCTCTCTCTCTCTCTCTCTCTGTCTCTCTCTCTCTCTCTCTCTCTCTGTCTCTCTGTTCCGGACTCTTTGAGGCAGGTTTGATGTAGGGTTTACCAAGCCTTTATAGACCCCAATAGGGTCTATGGAGAGTTTATAGGGTTTAGCTTTCCCAGTGGCTCCTCGACTTCTTGACGATACAGACAAGAAGGGTACCCTTTTGCCTTTCATTCGGTCTTCATAAGGACCTGGACCCTAAAAGTATGTAGAATTATAGCCTTTTATAGGTTTTGGGCCACTATTTTACCGGGTCTAGGGAGACCCTAAAACAAAAAAAAAAGATAGAGGCAGTCATTACTGGAAGACCTGGGAGATCTCGGGCTTAGGGCGCGTGGAACTTTTGTTTGCCGGACAAATTAGATAAGGTTTCGGTTTAGGGTTTAGGGTTTAGGGTCTTCAGGGTTTAGGGTCTATAGGGTTTAGGGTTTAGAGTCTATGGTCTTTAGGGTTTAGGGTTTAGGGCTTTGGGTTTCAGGGGTTTCAGGGCGTTCGCAACATTCGCCCATGCCCTACAGCCACTTCTCTACATTCGAGACTCAGTACTTCCAGGGTGATTCTCGATTGAAGCCGGGATTTTGCAAACGGCTTTACGATCCAAGGGTCAATCCGGATTTCGGCCTGGGATAAATTTTAAAGGACTAAAATCTGGGCCTTAATAATTAGAATAGGGTTTTGGGGCCCATCAAACTATATTCAAAATAGGGACCCCCGCCAAAAAAAAATAGTATACGTAACTATTGAGGGCCCCTATAGTACGCACTCCTTGGGAGTCGCAGGTTTGGATCTCAGACCCCTCGAAAAACTCGAACCTCCTCTTGTTCTGGAAGGGGTGCTAATATAGGGACCTTAATCATTACGAGCAGCATTTTGGGAGTTCCTCATTATAGTTTAGTTTAGTATAATGGACCCCAAAACCCTATTCTAATTAGTAAGGCCCCTATATGATAGTACACTTATAATCGCCCTTATAGTAGCCCCTTTAAGAGGAGCCCTTTAACGGAACCTAATTATGAAGGCCCTATATTCAAGAGTCGGGGGGCTTCGGCTCGCTTGGCAAGGCCCGGCCTTAACCAAAACTTAAGTTGTCGTAGAGGGTTTAGGGTTTATTTAAGGGTTTAGAGGTTTAGGGGTTCAGGGGTTTAGGGGTTTCGGGTTTGAGTTTTAGGGTTTGTGGTCTAACTTAAGTTTTCGTAGGGTCCTACAACTAGCATGCCGGACCCTAAACTTTAGACCGAAGTGGCTTATGGCTGCTCTATGGTTGTTTAAAGCGATCCCTACTGGGATCTGGTAGCCTTCTCGGGTTCTGCGGCTTTGGCATGGACGGGCTGCTGGTGGACGGGCTGCTGCTCCTCTGCAGCAAGGATCTCGAAGGATCATCGTCAGCTTACATACGGGAATCTCCCCCTGAACCCTGAAAATGGTGTCTGGCGGGGCGGGGGTGATGTGTTGCAGGTGTGCCTAGGGCTTGAGGCTCAATGGCTTGTTGGGTGTTGAAGGATTTCTGGATTCCTGGTTTAAGAGTTTAGGGCTGCGAGCTTAAGCGCTAGTGTATGGAAGGAGCTAGTATCATCCACAAAACACCCAAAATAAACGGCGTAAGCAAAAACGCGAAACTCTGGACGGACTGTCTATGAACCATCCTTATTCTCGAAGCAAAACACAACTACACTACACTACAACCGCAAGTTCTGCACCTATTTTGCGCCCTGCAACCCTTCGCTCTCACTGCTTCAAAAGCCCTATAAGTCGTTGGTCCCAGGTCCAAAACCCAAACCCCCGAATTCCTTGGCCCTTTTCCCTGAATCTGCTCTACCGGACGATTTCCCCAAACCCATGCAAACCCAATACCCAACTCAAAACCCGAAACTCTAAACCCGATTACCCCCGAATCTCAAAACCCTACACGCTAAACCCCTAAACACCCAAAACCCCTACACCTACACCCTAAATCCCTGAACACCTCAAACACCCACACCCTAAACCCCTAAACACCCAAAACCCCTACACCTACACCCTAAATCCCTGAACACCCCAAACCCCCACACCCTAAACCCCTAAACACCCAAAACCCCTACACCTACACCCTAAATCCCTGAACACCCCAAACCCCCACACCCTAAACCCCTAAACACCCAAAACCCCTACACCTACACCCTAAATCCCTGAACACCCCAAACCCCCACACCCTAAACCCCTAAACACCCAAAACCCCTACACCTACACCCTAAATCCCTGAACACCTCAAACACCCTACACGCTAAACCCCTAAACACCCAAAACCCCTACACCTACACCCTAAATCCCTGAACACCTCAAACACCCTACACGCTAAACCCCTAAACACCCAAAACCCCTACACCTACACCCTAAATCCCTGAACACCTCAAACACCCTACACGCTAAACCCCTAAACACCCAAAACCCCTACACCTACACCCTAAATCCCTGAACACCTCAAACACCCTACACGCTAAACCCCTAAACACCCAAAACCCCTACACCTACACCCTAAATCCCTGAACACCTCAAACACCCTACACGCTAAACCCCTAAACACCCAAAACCCCTACACCTACACCCTAAATCCCTGAACACCTCAAACACCCTACACGCTAAACCCCTAAACACCCAAAACCCCTACACCTACACCCTAAATCCCTGAACACCTCAAACACCCTACACGCTAAACCCCTAAACACCCAAAACCCCTACACCTACACCCTAAATCCCTGAACACCTCAAACACCCTACACGCTAAACCCCTAAACACCCAAAACCCCTACACCTACACCCTAAATCCCTGAACACCTCAAACACCCTACACGCTAAACCCCTAAACACCCAAAACCCCTACACCTACACCCTAAATCCCTGAACACCTCAAACACCCTACACGCTAAACCCCTAAACACCCAAAACCCCTACACCTACACCCTAAATCCCTGAACACCTCAAACACCCTACACGCTAAACCCCTAAACACCCAAAACCCCTACACCTACACCCTAAATCCCTGAACACCTCAAACACCCTACACGCTAAACCCCTAAACACCCAAAACCCCTACACCTACACCCTAAATCCCTGAACACCTCAAACACCCTACACGCTAAACCCCTAAACACCCAAAACCCCGACACCTACACCCTAAATCCCTGAACACCTCAAACACCCTACACGCTAAACCCCTAAACACCCAAAACCCCTACACCTACACCCTAAATCCCTGAACACCTCAAACACCCTACACGCTAAACCCCTAAACACCCAAAACCCCTACACCTACCCAAGGACCCTTGGAGCGTTCCTTTTAGGGGTCCCGAAGCGAACCCAAAAAAAATTGGGTGGAGCAAAAATTTTTGGGTTCGGTTTTGTGGGCTGTTGTGGATTTTGGGCCAGCATGTGTGTTGAGGATTCGCTGCCTACTTACAGATAATATTTCGGCCTTAGAGGGTAGGATTGGGTTTTAAGCTTGGTTTTCGGCAGTACATGCTTCAAAGAGCGAGAATACATAAGAGATGCCTCGTTGCTCGGCTTTGGAGGAAGAAAGTTATGAAAGAACGCCACATATAGACCCCAAACAATATACTTCCACAAGCCCCGAAGCTTGCCTATTCTTGCCACAGCATGGCTGAAGCTTTGAAAGAAGACCTACACATGCTGGTTGTGGGCATATTAGTATGTTAAGTCCCTAATAACCCAAACCCCGTGTTCAGCCATTTTTCATAAACATTTAACATACCATCGACGAGTATATATGATTGATACATATATATATATACATACATACATGTATGTACCCCGAACACTCTGAGCCTGGCCCGAACAAGCCCCAGACCCCGAACTCACAGAAGGTTCACCCTCAGCGTGCACCCTCATCATACAAACCCGAACAGACACTTTGCACACTGAAGCGCGTAAACGAAAACAATGCTCCAAATCTCGAACGAAGAGGCCCCGTTATATTCGATCGAAAGCCCGAACACTCCCAAAGCTCAAAACTTTAACAAGTCTTACGAGCACACAACCTGATGCCCAGACCCAAGCCAACACTCAAACATAAGCTGAATGGTGCACCACGATGCTGGTCTGTGGAATCGGAGCCCGAGGCCGGGAACAGCAATTTTCCGGGTCGTTCTTTATAATTACGCTACCCAGAGGCCCCAAAGTAGTTCCTTTTCGGGATTACCCTATAGGATTCTATGTACGAACCCCCCAAAAAAAACTACTTTGGGGCCTCTGGGTATACACTTATCCCTACTTATTCGAGGGGTTCAGCGTTTAGGGCATATATAATTATATATGAGGCTTTCGTCTACCCATAGGCCACATAGTAGTTCCTTTTTGGGTTCATATTTAGAAACCTATAGAAGGTAATTCCGAAAAGGAACTACTATGGGGCCTATGGGTAGGGGTTATAAGCAAGAAATCGGTGGGGCCCTTTGAGAACTGTTATCATTTACTGAACTCATCTGCGATCATCTGCTTTCCAGAGAGGGATGCACTGCGTAGATGTTGTTAGCTTTTGGGTGGGAGTTGCACCGAAACAGGGCCTCTTGGGACTCTATGTAGACACGCGCACACAGCCTATGGGCCCAGAGACTTTGCCTGCTAGGTTCATCGACAGGTATGTCTTCTTGTGCACACATACGACAAAGATAAGTAAACATATAGGTAGGGAAACTTGGGGTGTTTGGGCATTTGCAGGCGTTAGAAGGTGACATGGAGGGACCGAGGTGTTTATGAAAGGCCACAGGCGACCTTTACCTCAGGCCACATTCCGATCATCAGGTCTCGCAAACAGACACAGCTATACAGGAGGACGCTCCTCGCATTCACAGGCAGTGCTAGGTCTGCAAGGCTCAGACACAATGACATGCATGTATAAATGCGTGCATGTGTACAACTACGATGCCTCAGCCAGCCCTGGCCTGCTTTTCTGCGGCTTCTTTGAGCCACACCCTTCTAGCTCTCACTAGATACTTGTCGATGCCACGGCGAGCAACATTGGATGGGTTCGTATTGCTAGACATCTTGCACATGCTCCCCACATAATCTTCGGCCATTTGTGTTGCCCAAAGGCTGGGGTTGTAAACAGGTTTGCCCTTTGAAAGGGGCACATAAACATCGAATGCGACGTGGGCCAAGTAGTGCATCTTTGGGACGAAATTGAAGTAACTCCAACGCCTCAGGTAATCACGTCTTGGTTTCGGGCGATTTACCCAGAGGCCCCAAAGTAGTGCCTTTTTGGGATTACCTTATATAGGAGTCTACATACGAACCCCAAAAAGGAACTGCTTTGGGGCCTTTGGGTAGGCGTTTAGGGCTTGTATATACGGTCCATACTTACCAGGTAGACATGCCCTATTTAAAAAAAGGTGTATACATACATATATATATATATATATAAGTATTTATATATTTTATATATATATATACATGTTATATGTATATGTATATGTGTATATATATATATATATGTACATACGAAAACATGTATATATGTATATATGTAGGTATATATATATATATACACTTATATATATATATACATACACGTAAAAATGTATATATGTATATATCTGTATATCTGTATGTGTATATATATATATACAGCTGGAACCCCGACATATAAGCCCCTGTTCAGAAAAAAACAACAGTCAAGTGTCCGCTGGTAGCACTCCACTGCCGCTGCATGGTATGACCTCAAAAAAGTTGTGAGGGCCATCAACCCAGTGGCAGCTTCGCCAGCTGTCCACCACACCCGGCTCTCTGAATGATGGCAAAGTCGGAAGAATGCATTGTAAGATGTCAGAGCATCCGAGCAGAGCTTTAACAAGCGGTCTGAAAGATCCAATGGAACATTCACCATATAGTCTTCCAGCCACTCCAGCATCAAAATCGTGTCTGCAGCTTTGCAAGACAGCATCGGGTATGTAGCTTGGTCCGGCCAGTGCATATTGCTTTTTGTGAAATCTTTGAGATCACGCGGGCATCGCTTCTTGGCATTGCAAAACGTCAAGAAAAACTCGTGAGCAACAGCCAGCCTGCTTTCAATGTCACGCTGTTTGCTAGCCGCCGGGGTAAAGTGCTTGAACTGGGCGATGAGCACACCCAGCACCGACGGGGCCAGGTATTGTCCAACTCCGAGTGCACCCAAGTGAAAAGTGTCCAGCCTTATGAAACTGGATGTGTCGCCACCTGGAAGTGCAGCAAACACGGGTGGCTTTGTCCATGGTTGGCTCCGGCCGATGGTGCTGATCCAGGCTGCATCGGCACTCATATCCTCAAACGGGACAGTCGTGATGTTGGCGTCACAATGCGGGCAAATATCCTTTTTCACATGGTG